AGCAAAAGAGGGTACCGATAATAGACCTAGCTAGGGAGAACGAAGCTGCCGCATAGGAACATGCTGGGACAGGGAATTAAAATTTTAATAGTTTTTGTAAGCCGTGTTGAGTTTTCTTTATGAGAAAAGCAACACAAATTCTTGCCCCCGTCAATATCAGCCCAGTGAAGCCTGCCCATGGCCACATGGTTTTCACAGCAACAATAAAACGATTATGTAGGATATCTTTGATATGGAGATGGCGTGTCAGCAGCAACTTTTGAAATCAGAACTGAAAAGCGGAATACATTAAGCACCATAAAACCCTGCTTACAATCAAGAGGAAAAATGTGCAACTACAGCATCACTTTGAATCTGACTGATAAGGCACAGGAGAATTTTATTTCAGTGATTCAAATTACTTTAACCCTACCTTTCTCCAATGGACCGTCACCATGGCCCGAAGGGCATATGTATGTGCATTAGTTAATCCAAAATGCAAGTGGTCCGCAAGAGCTTGCTTTCAGTGATGTGTATGATACTTGCAGACTTCTCCTGAAATCATTCTAAACACATTTTAATTGGTGCTGAAAGATACAGCGCTTGTTGCTTTATTGTGGAATGCTCCCAGCCACACCCAAGCACCAAGAATGGGAGCAGATGTTATGCTTGATTTCGAACTACTTCCAAAAACTGCATTCCCATGCAGGGTTCTTCTTTACCCTGGTAATTTTTAGGAACACCCACAATGTAACCCAACACAGGGGAAGCCTCCCAGCTACTATCACTGGCCAGTACAGGCATAGGCAGAGAAACGTACAGGATGGTATCACGTCATGTCATCTGGTATGTGTCCATAAGCATTAAAGTGAAGTGGTAGGAGTAAGGAGAACTTGCCACAGGGACACCATTTTCAGTGTCATATAGCAGGCGTAATATCTGCTCTTACTCGACTAAGCCAGTGCAGACAATCTTGCCTTAGTGCAATTAGCCAGAACAGAACTTCACAGCCAGAACGTACCCGTTTTCTTCTTCCTCTGCTACTCTCTCCCTGGGTACTACTAGCCCATCTGAAGCACTGATTCCCCTGTTATAAGAACTTTAAGAAAATAAAATAGGTCTTCTAGTTTGAGATATGACAGCTTCAAAAATAATAATAAAAATTAAAAAACCAACAAGAGCATCAAATATAGAAAACTGAGCTTTTTTCCCCCCAATGGGGGGGAGGGTTGCCATTAAGTTACAGATAATGTATCGCAACTCAATAGGGCTTTCAAGGCAAGAGATGTTCAGAGGTGGTTTGTCATTGCCTGCCATCCCAAGATTCTCCTCCATCTCAGGGTGGATTTTTCAGGGACATGGTCACCTGTATCATGTTAAAATAATTGGGGCGGGGGGAACCTCTTTAGCTATTATGACTATGAGCATGGCAGGGTGCTTAAATGGCATGAGAGAGAAGATAAGGACATTATTTATTTGAGGGAGCTATTCATTGTAAATAGCTTCTAAGTTTAAAATGACTCTTATTCATCTTATATATTTCTGACGCTAACAATTCAAAGATAATATAAAGACCCTCTTGGACTTTGGCACCAGGGTTACATATGCTTCTGTTGATTATCAGGAAATCAATTCTCTGTTCATTTTTTTGAAATCCCTTTTGTTGAAGGGAATAGGGGGACTTCCTGGAATTCACTCCTATTTAGAAATAAAAGGGAAATCCAAGAATAATTAGATGTGGGTGCAGAGTTAATCAGTAAGCAAGATTTAGCAGAACAGAGTTAATCATTAGGAAGATGAGACCGATCACTGCGTAGGTATGTTGGGAAAACACCTAAACTGTATAGCTTTTAAAAGCATGAGTCGTACTGCATAGTACTATTTTCAAGTTTTATAATGCTGGATAGCACTACTGCTTCAACATGGTGGCTAAGTCTGGCCACAAGAAGAAACTATAGCTTGCTTTAATCGAAGTTACTTTGTTTGCATGTGATCACTCAGAGCTTGGTGTGCCTTAACCAGTGCTGATTTCATCAACTGCACTCTGTTTCTGGGGGGATGCTTCCACACAGGGGCAATTCCTTGTTTTGCTCTCACTGCCCCTGCACATGAAAAGGCATGCGCAGTAGCAGTGAAGTCTCCATGTGGGTATCTTCTCTGTGCTTCATGCCTGCCATCTCTCCTTTCACCACTGGGGGTGTTTTGCTTTTTCAAATAAGTGGTAATACGTATATTTCCATAACTACCAACAGTTATTTTTATAACTACCAACAGTTATTTCTATAACTACCAACATTTTAAAAAACAACAGCAAAACGCCTACGAGTAGCAGTACTGGGGGGGGGGACGCACTGGAAGGCATCTGGGGAAATGCGGAGGAAGTGGTGCCAGGTTTGGGTGGGAGGGTATGAATAGCCATGCTTCCCTCTCCACACAGAACCCAAATCTCTCTGAGTATTATCTTCCCACAAACACTGTGCTAAAGCAGGTCTGGGGAAACTTGGCAGCAGAGCCAGGGAAGACCTGGAAGGTAGACAACTACACAGTGATGTTCTGTGGAAGCCCTTCCTCCAAAAAAATGCTGCAGCAAGTGAGATAGGGCAGAGCTGCTGAGAGCCCCCATGAGCCCCCCAAGATTCCATCTGCCCCCCTTTATGACCCTGATCCAAACCAAATATCAGAACAAAATGAACAAATCATTTGGCTTGCTGTTGCCATAAATGTGTAACAATAAAAGAATTGGCCTGCATGTCCATGTTTGTTTATTTATGACCAACCTTTCAAAGTACAGGTTTCAAAGTACACACAAAGTAGAGGAGGGATGGTGGCAGTGTTCCCTCTAACTTTTAACCCCTACTGAGCAGAGCAGTTCACATCTTGAGCTGAACATTATTAGCACTTTACGATGTTATGTAGGTTGTTTATGTGTATTTTTATTGTATTTACTATTTTATTGCATTTAATGTTTGCATGCCGCCTTGAGCCACTTCCCCGGCAAGGCGGGATATAAATTGAAAATAATAAACATAACTGCTGTAATCTTAAAATGGGCAATGGGGCTCCAGGTTGCTGCTGAGTGGGGCTTCCTGTGTTCATGAGTGGCTGCTCAGGCACACAGCTTAGAGGAAACACTGGATGGTGGTTGGCTGGAGCAGCAGCTGAGCTGAGCACCACGAGCACTCTCAGAAGAGACTGGGAAGAGGGATGGAAAAGAAAGCCTGGAGCTGATTAGAAACAGAAAGCATGGCTTTGGTTGGGAGGAGTGAAAGGCAGGATCCAAAGTTGCAGCATCTTCCACCTCTACTCCACTCCATCCTTTCTTTCCAGCCCACCCCCTTCCATCTGCCCTGGAAGCTTTGAGTAGGAAGCAGGGCTGGCAACTCCAACACAGTTTCAGGACTTTTAGCATGCAGGAACTGGTTTGCTCTCTGGGCTTGGCTCGCATCTTGGGACTAGGAGAGAAACTGCAGACACAACACAGAACTATCAAGACGCCACTGCACCCTGCTTTCGTCAAGGCATGCTCTAATATAACTTAAAGACCATTCAGTTGTAGCTGGATTTGGTTAAATCCTTCCAAACGGCAGAGTATACTTCAAGGGAGAAAAATCCTTCCAAACTGCAGAGTATACTTCAAGGGAGAAGAACACCTATGCTATACTTCAAGCAATATAATTGAAGGATACTTTCTACACAGATAAGGGAGAATAAAAGACAGATAAGGTCATCTACAATTTTGCAATTGTAGTGGCACTGGAATGATTCCATATATTCAATGTCTACCTGGCCAGTTCAAAGTTGGCATTAGGTGTACATGTTAGAGGGATTAGTGCAGCCGTTTGACCCTCAGAAACTTCAAAAGAAAAATGGCAACATCACACTCACACTTCCATTTTCTAGAAACTGCTGGCACTGAACAGGCCCAGAAGAAAGTCATACTTCCAAACAAAATAAATGTGTTTTGGCAGAGAAGAAACCTGACTGTCTGCTCTACATATAGTACAGAAGAAATTATGCAAGATAATATCTAAGTATTTTTTTAAGCCACAGTTCTGCACCACTGCAAGCCACGTAATGGAACAACACTGTTGTCCCTCTCATGAGCATGCCGTAATATGCTCGGTCCTACCTATGGTCTGTCAGTGATGCTTGCACAGACACATGACCCTTGCTGGAACAAAAGAGATGGCAGCCCTGTTCATCTGGCTTGCTGCCAGTATTTATGATGCTGCTCAGTAAATGCGTGGATCGCCATACATCTATGTCTCTGGTTGGCTGGGATTTTAGAAATGGACGACAGTTCCTACCCTGAGCACGTTACTAACTTCAACAGTCTCCAGCATGCATCTAACATTGGGACGGGGTTCAGGGGGTGTATCTAATTACTGTAGTATGGGAAAGAGTGGGGATGAACAGAACAGCGGAGAGATGGCCATGGAGCTTGCCAACCAAAATGACAGCATGTGAACCACACAGTCAACATGAGCACCCCATCCCACCTGATTATGGTCAACTGGGCAAAACTTCTGATGTGCCTTGGACTTCTTTCTGGTCTTTCTAGCCACAGGTGGGACTTGAACCAGGCAACTTTGGGCATGCTACACCAATACCTCCAAACTGTACTATGCCTTGTTCTACTCTATGAACTTGTAGAAGCACAAGTCCCTAGCTGCCACATACTCGAGATAACCAATACTGTCTTGCAAGATGTTACCTTAGGCCACCATCCCCCTTTCCAAGGGAAAGAAGAATGTGTTATAAACCCACACATAATTGTATTTCTTTCGGTTACCACTTTCAAATTTGATTCTTTTCAACATCCACTTTTAGATTCCAGCAAAGGTTGCTGTCGATGGAAAATCCCACTAACGAAGAATAGATTTCTTTAAGACTTCTGTTCCAATTTTTTTTGCTTATAGTGGAAATAAACTGACAAATTTTGGAGGAAAATAATCAGTTAAAACCAAGAAGGAGAAGTAAACCCTCTGGCCCTCTCTGCCCATATGGGTATTAACACTTACCAAAGGCTCTAGTTCCTTGCGGTCTATGAGATTGAGCTCTGTCACAAAATAATAAAAGTGCTTGTAGCAGGTGTTGACGTGAGCCTCGGCCCCCATGATGATGATGCGGTCAAAGTGATGAATGTAGACGTGAACGAACACTCTGAAGAGCCTGCACAGGATCTTCTTGCAGATTTGGAGGAAGTTCTTTGGGAATGGTACTCCTGTGAATAGAGAAAGGATGGTTTAAAAATTTCCTTCCTATTGCCACAACTGTTACTGCACTTCTAGGAAACAAAACCCCCCAGGAGAGTGCACCATCCACACAATGGTTCTTTATTTACTTTCACACGGAGATCGACATAAAAAGCCCTCGCGCTGATTGAGACTGAGAACTTTCTCTTGTTACAGTTGCCCAAGGTAAGGCCTTGCCCTGGGCTTTCTCAAGCTCAAGTAGTGTTCTATAAATATTTTCTTGTTCCTAAGTAGCCTTGGCACTAGTTCATGCAATACTTGGCTTCACAAATATACCACATTAGCTGTGAAGAGGATGTTTTCAATGTTTGCTGTTTAAAACAGACATGGGGTAAAGCATACTATTCTTCTCCTGGTTACCATTTCTCTGAATTTTAAAGTACAGAGCAACAAATAATAAATGCAAGTGCCCTTCACAAATGACACACTGTGTGAATACTTGACTTGGCCTTATGTATCCAAATACAAAACTGTGAGTTCAAGCTGAGGTTGTCTGAAGAGATCCAGTAACTGTCATGGTTTCAGCATACATGTTAGTTCAGCTTGTCTGTGGTCAACTGTGACAAGCAGACTTAACTCGATCGCTAGGTCCATTCAGTTCTTCAATGAACTATTCTAATACCCACCTAACAGTTTGAATCAGTCCCCCCTAAAAAAGTGTGCACGTGCAAAAACACTGCCAATCCAAACAGAACAGTAGCAGCCATTCAGATCACTAAGAAGAGATTGGATTTATACCCCGCCCTTCACTTGGAGTCTCAGAGCGGATTACAAACTCCTTTCCCTTCTCCTCCCCACAACAGACACCCTGTGAGGTGGGTGGGGCTGAGAGAACTCTGACACAAACTGCTCTTTTTCAAGGACAGCTGTGTCCGAGCTTGTGACTGACCCAAGGTCACATCAGCAGGTGCAAGTGGAGGAGTGGGGAATCAAACCCGGTTCTCCCAGATTAGAGTCCGCACACTTAACCACTACACCAAACTGGCTCACCAAACTAAGGACTACTTACACAAACAATGAATGGTAGGATTTTTTTAAAGCATAAGTTCATGACTGATTTATGATATTTGTGACTCATTCAACTTCTAACTGCCTGCTGAGCAGAGGGCAGCGCAGAAATTTGGGGATAGTAGATCTCAATTGGGCTGTGTGAAAATTTGCATGCATTAAAAGCGAATTGTGCTGTTCTGCACTATTAGGGAAAAACAAGTGGGGGCCCATGAGACTAGCCAGGGGAAATCCTAACCCTCATCCTTTTGCCCGTTGAGCCCAAGTACAACTTCCTTTCAACCCCCCATCACCAAGCCTGGCTACAAGTCTCCGCGGCTGCCTCTGGATCCAGCCACAGTGGTGGTGTCTGGGAGCTGCTTCGGGTCGGGATTGGGTCCCGGACATCACTGTGGCTGGGCCCAGAGAAGCTCTCTGACACCACTGCCACCATGGCCAGGCCCACAGTGGCTCTCCAACACCAACACCACTGCAGCTGGGCCCAGAGCAGCTCTCTGCTACCACCATGCCTGGGAACGGCTCTCCAACGGGGTGGGGGTGGGGATGTCATTCCTGGAAATGACATCATCATGTCAGCAATGTTGGGGTGACACTATTTTTCGGGCAAAACCCTATGGTAAAAACTGCTGCAAACCATAGAGTTTTGCGCAACAAGTAGAGCATCGCCCCAACGTGATGACATCACTTCTGGAAGTGACACCAGGGTGTTGCCGACGCCGTGCAGGTATGTCTGTTTGGGCATGTCTGTTTCTCCTGCCAGCCAGCTGCCCAGCGGCGGGCCGGAGCCTGCAAAAGTGGGGACTGGTAAGCATATGCACAGACAATGCTCTTTATTTTTTGGGGGGTGGGAATCCCCCCAATGTCATATTTTTAGTTTTCGTATTTTTTCTGCAAACCTGGGGGTTCCCCAAAATGTTCAGAACGATCTGTTTTGTCAGTGTGGCCCTGATCTATGGATTTAAGTATCTGCATATTATGCCATACTTGACTATAAGAATATAATATACAGTGAAAGTAACTTGCTGAACACTCACAAATAGACTGATGAACAGAGGAATAGTCTATAAAAAATCAGTTTCCTGTTTGTGACTGGTACACAGGATATTAACTAAACTGGGGGCATTGAACATCCCTAAAAGAAACCAAACGTTCTTTCTAACCAGAGGTGTCAGGAACTGAACAAGGGACCATGTGTTCTTCTCAGTTTCAGCCTTTCTGAAGTCATACGCATGTGATAAGCTGCCTAGAGCACTTTTATGGAAAATGCATACTATAAATAGTCTAAATAAAATAAATACATAAAGTTGGCATGGTGGATAGCCAGCCTCTGCTTACATTCTGCCTGCTTGCATGCAAAGACTATCTCAAGTATTGTCAACAATGTGCAACAGATGTTGCAAATGAAGAGGCTATCACGCACACACACACACAAAACTCACAGCACCTACTAAGTTACCATTGCATAGAATTGCTGTCATACAATTACCTCCTCAACACCCCCCCCCACAAAACCCCTCACTGGTGCAGCCATAAAATTTTTCCACATGCCAGATTAATTAGCATTCAAGGGTAGATGAATGCACACATCTATAAAAGCAATAAAACAGAAATTGCTCCTGCAGTAGGTAGCAGCCAGAATACTCAAAAATATATCATTACCCAGCTCTACTTTACCATCTGGAGCCAGCTTCTCAGATCCTTCCTTGGTATGTTATGTCAACTAAACTGTGTAGGTAGGTAGGTAGGTAGGTAGGTAGGTAGGTAGGAAGGAAGGAAGGAAGGAAGGAAGGAAGGAAAGGAAGGAAGTCTATCTGAGAGCACTTTACATGTAAATGATTTGCACAAATGTCACAGTGTGGTATCCAGTTGGTGGCTGTGATGAAAAGGATCTCTTGAGGAAGGAAGCTTATAAATCTAAAAAAAAAAAAATCTACCCACTTTCTCTCTCTATGCTACTTTGGGAACCACAATGCTGAAAAGCAGCTTATAAAGCAGAATAAAGTAGTTGTAAAAACCTTTACTTATGGAGTACGCAGCTGCCCATTTTAGACTCATCTTGACAAATTGATACCATAAACTGTAGCTGTGGGAAAACTCAACTCTAAATGGATCCAGAAAGCCAATGATGGCTTGTGTGATTAATTCAAATGACCAGCCTTAGTTGCTTTTTGAAGCAAAGCAAAGATAGCGGAACATATCGGGGACCATCAATTAGACAGTCTTTGGCAAAGTGGATTAAATTTCAGGCCCCCGGGAGTGTTGCTCGACTGCAATAATGATTACGCCAGCAGAGAGCTTTAAAAGTTAGAAGTAAACGATCATGGAAGAGTGAAAGTGCACTAGAATATAATCATGAGAAGCTGTATGAAAAGATAATGACTGAAATAGGGTCTTATGGAAACCAGTGGTGGTGCCACAGAGCAACTCCCCCCCCCCTCCAGACTTCCCCTTCCATGGCTTAGAGTCAGGCACATGGCACAACAGGGACTAATTAGTTCCTCTCCTCCAGGGCCCGAGTGACATGCAATTGTTTTGGCTTGCCTGGAGTAATGCAAGAACCTCCTTGTCCATTATTAATTAGCTGATGCAAAAGTAATACTCTAGCAAGGAAAGGGAGCACCTCCTTTTCAGCCTGCCGGCTATTTGCACCTGCGAGAGGTACAAAGCCACCACTGTAGTGCAGGGAGGGAATTCTGGCTGATCGTGTATGTCAGCGGTTCACAACTGGGAGCCATGGGCATGTGTGATTGTTTTGGACCAGGGAGAACTGAGTTCAAATCCCCACTGAGCTCCGAAGTTCAGTATATGACCTTGGCCCAATCACGGTCTCCCTCAGCCTAATAAACCTTACAGCGCTGTTGTGATGATAAACTGGGCCAAGTACCCTGAGAAGAAGGGATAGTGCCACAAATCAATAAAAGGGAGGGCTAATAGCTCTGTGATAGAACGTTTACTCTCTGCTTTGTAGTAAACAGTCCTAGGGAGAGGATCTTGGAGATGTATTACTAGTCGGAGCAAACAACCCTTGGTAGAGGGGACCAATGGACTAACTAAGAAAAAAGGCACATCAGTATGTTCAAATACCCCCCATTCCCCAGCTTCCTTCTAGGAAGGCAAGAGAGTGGTGTGGGGGAGGCAAATGGTCAGAAGGAAAAACAGAAAACAGAGGACTGGGTATAGGGGAACAGTCTCTATAAACACATTCTGAGGAGCACGCAGTTGTGATCTTGGCCTGCTACATGCTACTCCCTTCTCAAAAGCTTGTTGTTGTTCAGTCGCACAGTTGAGTCCGACTCTTTACGACCCCATGGACCAGCTCCCGCCAGGCCCTCCGGTCCTCCGCCACCCTCCGAAGCCTGCTCAACTTCATGCTCGTTGCATCTATGACACTGTCTAACCATCTCTTCCTTTGCCGTTCCCGTCTTCTTTGACCTTCAATCTTTCCCAGCATCAGGGTCTTCTCCAGTGAGTGCTCCCTTCTCATTTGGTGGCCAAAGTATTTGAGCTTCAGTTTCATTATCTGGCCTTCCAGGGAACAGTCAGCTACTTTTCAGCAGTTCCCCCAGAATGACCTGTAGTATGTAACTCAGTACCTTTACACTCGTTTTTGTAAGGCAAATATCTAAATGCAGTCTCTATAAACACATTCTGAGGAGCACGCAGTTGTGATCTTGGCCTGCTACATGCTACTCCCTTCTCAAAAGCTACTTTTCAGCAATTCCCCCAGAATGACTTGTAGTATATGTAACTCAGTACCTTTACACTCGTTCTTGTAAGGCAAATATCTAAATGCGGGGGAGCTTAGGACATTTATCCTTCCACCCTCAGAGGCCTTGCTACTGTAAGGTTAGCACTTCCCCAGTACCAATTCCTCATTATATCTGATACTGATCAGAGAACTTAAGTTCAAAGCTTTCTGAGAGAAGGAGCATTAAAAACGACAGTTCCGGAATTCAAAATG